GCGTCCCTCATAGGATAGGGAGCACATCTGAACTCACACTCTGCTCAGGGCCATTGGTTCCCCACAGAAGCCTGACTTCACATATATCTACTAGAACTAAGAGCCATTCGCAGTGCATGCACGAACTTCGTACCCATGATCAGAAACAAGACCATACGCATTCTCACAGACAATTTAGCATGCATGTTCTACATAAACAGACAAGGGGCTTGTTAGGGGGCTTATTCCTTCACCCACTTACTTCCCTGGTCCTTCTCGCATGAACAGAGAGCAACAATACCCGAAGTCCAAAGGTGCAAACAATTCAATGTTTATTGGGGTGAACTTCCAGCAAGCATGATTCCAGTTTCCTTCCTTAGTATCCTCCTTCCCAGCTCTGACACCACAGAGCCTTACACCTGTGTCCCTGTTCCCATTCCTACCCTTAGCCAAACATGATTCCAACTTCCTTACCCCCATTCCCTGTTCCCATATCCCCCACCCACCCCTTCCCACCCACACCCACTCACTATCTCATTGACTACAGATTATATAGTAAAACTTGAGTTCTGCTTAGGTATACCTTAACCAATCATTTTCCTGAAATTTAACTAACCAATCCTAACATATTGTAACATGATTATGTAACTAGTTATATCCCACCACCTTAATGAGTTTACACCCAGCAAAATTAATTATACAGCAGACAGGAACAATCACAGAACCAGAGAGATTATACAGACAAACAATAGCAAAGTGGGAACTATAATGACAAAACAATACAGAAGTGAGGATTTCACATCCCAGCTATTGATAAGTGAGTTCTTGCCAGACAGGATGCTATCAAACTAAGTTTCCTTTTACATTTTCTAGGCACTTCCCTTTCTCTGGAGGTGATAGGAATACAATTCTGTCCTGATAGTGCCTAACAGCCCAATAGCACCTTATTTCAATGTGACTAGTTTGGAATGTGAGGATGTGACTGTTCACTTCCTAGCTTATGGCTGCCTCTGCTGCTTAGCCAAAGGCCTTAGCCTAAGAACAGGGCCTCAATCTGTCACAGTAAGAGAAGGCCCTTACACCAGCAGACAGTGATTTTGATTCTTTCTTTTATACCTCTAGAACTAGTCAAGTGATAAGAATACACCTAAATTCTTAAAGTACAGACTGGCCTGAATATCTTTATCCTAACAGGGTTGCACGCTCACACTCCCTGTGTGCAGAGGCCATGTAACTGGCATTGGTGCATCCTGCACAACATCCACATTGAAGCAGCCTACCTGCCTGGATTTCAAAACAGTATGGCAGATTCACTTAGCAGGAACTTTTTCTCAGGACCACAAGTGGAAACTTGACACCAGGTTTCTTCACAACATATATTCAAACAGTGGAGATTCCTCATAGTAGACCTCTTCACAATAGAGCACAACACCAAATGCCCACTATTTTGCACCAGGGACAGAATGGGCCTTCACTCCTTGGGAGGCGCCTTTCTTATCAAATGGAACAGTCCTCTCCTATATGCCTTCCCCCCCGCCCCATTCCCCTAATGACACGAATGCTTCACAAGATCAAATAGGACAAGGCCACAGTAATACTGATAACCCCCAAATTGCCTCATCAAACATGGTTCCCCTACATTCTCAGAATGTCAGCGTGCAGACTTCTCACCCTTTCCCTCCTACCTCATCTCCTGTCCCAGGAATCAGGACATATCCTGCTCCTGAACTTGGAGACACTCTGCCTCAAAGCATGGTTGCTTCATGGCTCCAGGGACCAGAAATAACATGCTCCAAAGTAGTACAGAACATTTTATTAAATAGTCACAGACCAATTAGCCACCACACACACTTACACAAATGGAGACATTTTGATTCCTGGTGTCACACGACGCAGACATCAGTATCTGCACCCTTACCTTTGATTCTGGATTACCTGGTTGAATTTAAGAGATCAGATCTCTCTATTAGCTCAGTCAGGGTACATCTCTCAGCCATAGTAACTTTCCACCATAAGATAGATGGCACATCAATTTTTGCATACCCTACCACCAAACATTTTCTGAAAGGCCTTAACAACATTTGCCCCGAAATCCTCACTCCCCCTTCACCTTGGGACCTCAACTTAGTTCTCTAGGGCATCACCAGACACTCATTCAAACCATTAGCCACTGGCTCACTTCTCCACTTGTCAATGAAGGTGGCCTTTCTAATCGCCATTACATCTGAAAGACAAATGAGGGAACTAGGAGTCCTCATGATTGACCCACCCTACACAGTATTTTCTGAAGATAAAATCACTCTCAGACCTCATCCCAAGATTTTACCTAAAGGGCTGGTTTAGATGGAAAGAGGAGGCAACCATCTGCTTACCAACATTCTATCCTAAGCCACATAAGAATAGACAAGAATCCGCACCCTTGATGTTCGCAGGGCCCTAGCTTTTAACATAGATAGAACAAGGTAATTCTGCAGGTCCCCAAAATTATTTGTTTCAATCACGGAATGATCAAAAGGAGACACCATATCCAAACAGTAGTTCTCCAAATGGATTTCAGAATGCATCAAACTGTTACCAGCAACAGAACCTGCAACCCCCAGTGGGGATTCATGCACATTCCACCAGGTCAGTGTCGACTTCGATAGTTTTTCTGAACAGTGTTCCCATTACAGACGTATGTAGAACTGCAATCTGGGCCTGCCCGTACATTTACACAGTATGAAACATCTGATGCATTATTCAGACTCATCATATTGTCCTCTGCCTTGACTTCAATGCCAAAGTCCCTCCCTTCGCTTGGAGGGCACTGCTCTGAAGTCACCTAAAGTGGAGCACCCACAGGGACATCACTCAAAGAAGAAAAGAGGGTTATTCACCTTGTGCAGTAACTGAGGTTCTTCGAGATGTGACCCCCTGTGGGTGCTGCACCACCCTCCCTTCTCCCCTCTACTTCGGAGTTTCACTCTATGCTCTGCAATAGAGAAGGAACAGAAGGGGAGGGTTGGTCGCACAGTGCTGGTTAACCGCCTGAGGCAGCGCAAGACTGGGACTGTGCATGTGCGACCCAACCAGGCACTGCTACCAAAAATCTCTGATTACAAGTGCGGGGCACTCAACATCTAAAGTGGAGCACTCACAGGGACACACATCTTGAAGAACCTTAGTTACTGCTCAAGGTGAGTAACGCTTTTTCTTTAAATCTATGCTCAAAACAGAAATATTCAGAATCTGATAATGAAGTTTTGTTAGGGAACAGTCTCTAAAAGAAAAAGTATAGTTATTTTATGTGTATGTTATCATCCTGGCTTTCAGAACATGGTCTTCTTTTGTGCATGTTAAGTATTCTGACATGTGCGTGCATGCATGCAGTCACATCTGAAAAGTGCACCGATGTGTGTTTGTGCATGCAAACATGACTGTGTATCAAATCAGACTGTCTTGTTACCCTCTGTCTGAAGTTAAAATGTAATTTTATGGGACAGGGTTTTATATTTTCTCTGTACAGGGAGGGAACTAGCGCGCTTTTGGTCGTCATTAAAATAACAGTAGTAATTTTCTTCCCTGTCTAACTCCCTCCCCATTCTCTCTACCAGTCTCATCCTAATCATCTGCCTCTGTATTGCTCTCCATGCCCTTTCAGCCCCCTACCCTCCATATTCTCTCCTTCTGTTTCTATCACAATCCTCTTCCAACTCACATTTTCCGTTTTGCACTCAATCTGCGGCCTCTCCAAGTTTTCCGTCTCCCAAACCCACCAGAAGCACTAAGAAAAGGTGGATTTATTCACTACAGGCTGCCTCACAGCCGCTTGTAAAGGCAATGGGAAAACAGTACCCGTCTTATCTAGTGTACACCAACGCTAGGTGGCTATTTTTAATATGGGAGGTAAAATCAAATTTTAAACACAAGTGCTTATGAGAACATGAACAGCCTTAAACAACACCTAAAATAGTGATGCTTATAGTATCATGAAAGAAGTGGGAAAGTTGTAATTACTTTGTATAAGGGAAGAAGTAAGTAGTCTGTTGGTCACAAACCTTTTGTGTACAAACAATTTATCACTCACAATATTATTTAAATTGACTGGTAATGAAGCAACATGATTTAATAACTGACAGGAGGGCCATAAAAATGATGATGTTCAATGGAAGTATAAATTGAAATTTGCATGTTGCCTTTAAAAAAAAAATCACTCTTTCAAAAGACTGATAGGACTTTGTAGTGATGATTTCCCCACCTTCATCTTCACAGATCACCAAGGGTCAGATGTTGTGAGGAAGTTTCATCTTACTTTATAGATAGAGTTGAACTGAACGTTCTGCTTCTGTGGATGTAATGCAATATCTAACAGGGCTGAATGCTAGATCTGTTTTGTTTGAGTTTAAGCCATTGTCGTTCACTGAAGTACTAGAGGTGTTAAGACTATTTCATACCACAGCCTGTGCTTTGGACTCTCATTCTTCCTGGATAATGAAAGCCAGTGAAGAAGAAAATGTACACCTTGTAATGTTTCACATTGGCAAATAATAGAACATCTCCTGTTTTATTTATTTTTAGTTTACTGTTTTTCATTCTTGACTCTTATCACTACCCAGAGGTCCCCACTGAAATGAAGTGACATGCAACATATGTAGATAATGTAATGTAGCTTTTCAAATGAAGTTGAAGTACTCGCATAATGGATCAACTAGTCGTAACATCTGACATTACTCTATAGCATGCAGTGACCCCCACCACATTTGTTTTCTACCCCATATGTTTCCTTAAAATATTCTCTCCCCTCCCTGCATCCTTCACTTAGTCTAGAATAATACAAAGTCATTTAAAACTCTTTTTAGACTTCCAGGATTGCCCCATGCCTTCCACAAGGGATTTATGAATTGCTTATCTTCTTTCTTCCCTAACATTGTAGGAAATGATACCACAAATATAAGCCTTGAAAATATTTTACATTAATTTTCTGCTTGTATTTGATTTGAGGAATGACCATTCATGCCTGATTCTGTTTTACTTGATTTCAGGTAACATTGCTTTCCTTCCTAATTGAAACAGAAGTTTCATTCCTTGACTATATTAAAGGCGGGTAAGTGATCCCTGCAAACTTTTCTTGTTTTCCTGTTTTCATTATAATTCACTATTAACCGGTTTACATTCTTGCTAAGTGATAGTTCTAAATATCCATAAGAATTGCATTGCTTTTTTCATTTTAAGGAGTAAACTTCCTTATTGATTTAAAAAAAAAAAACCCAACCCTAACTATATAAGAAAGTTTTATGTTTTGTTTTGGTAAGGTTTTATTTTGTTAATTGTGCTTATATCTGTGTTTGTATTCGCGAAGTCAGTGCTGAATAAGTGTACCTTGCACTTGGAGCAGAAGGTGGTAAGGTTTGTGATGGTTCATAATTTCTGTGGAAGTTCATTCCACAGCCTTGGGGCTGGCCCTCAGAAAGGTTCCATTGTGCCTGTACAGTAGAGTTGTTGATCATGGTCCTCACCCTGGAGTTTTAGGCAATCTTTTAGGTATCCCAGAACTAGACCATTGAAGTAGCTTGCTTATTAACTAATTTGAGAATGGATTGAAGGTGTAGTCCTATGTATAATCCATTGCAATAGTCCAATGTCAAGGTAACAAAGGCATGGATAACCATGGCAAGGTCAACATTAAAAAGGCCAAGTAAATAATGAGCTGCACTGAACAACAATTGAGTGTCAGAGCAATTTAAGATACTACAAAACATTCCTTCTCCTCCTTCCCCTTGCTCCCAACATTAGAACCAATTCTCGCTGTCTCATTTAATTGCGTCCCTCAGTCTTTTAGGCCTAAGGCATAACTTGTCTTGTCTGGATGGAATTTCAACTGCCTTTCTTTAATCCATGCCCTGTCTTACTAGACACTGTGTAACCTGTTACCAATACCCAGGCAAAGTCAGAAGAGGCAGAAATATAAAATTGGGTGCTGTCTTTGTGGAGACCCACTCCCCAAGATTAATAACAGTTTGATGAAAGCTGGCCCTTCTCTGAGTCCTGATTGGCATGGCGTGAACAAACAGGAGAAACTGGGGCTCCATCTCCACAGAGCTCTAGCTAGTTAGAGAGATGGTAGGAAATCCCACTCCATCTTGTTGCAGCCTCTCTTGAGAAGAAGGGATGGCAGCAGTGGCAGAGAACGAACATGCAACTGCTGCTGCTGAAGGGACGTGGCAGGCTGAGAGTCCGAATCCTGTGATAGAGTACAGGCCCCCAAAGCTCCTCACATGCTGCACATGAGGATCAGCCAGAGCCTAAAGGAGGGAGATCCCTAATCAGTGGCTGATGCTGGGGGAGATAACATTGGGGCTGTCTGTTACTGATCAACATGTCTGTTGCTAATAGAGCTGAGTGTTGGTTACTGATAATGGTGTTGGGAGTGATTTCTTGATGAATTTCTGCCTCCCCAAAGGGAGGGTTCTCGACTGCAAAGCAAGTTTGGCAGTCATTACTAGAAAATACAGCCCCACCCTGTCAGTTTCCTGAATTCATCACAACCCATAGTTCTTCACTACCCAGTCCCAAATGGTCCTATTCATACCATGAACAAGAAGGGTGATAAAACAGAACATTTGAAAACTCGTGAGATAGCCCTTGAAGCAGATTAGTGGGAGAGGATAAAAAGAGATGCTTTCCTTTACGATACTACAGATGGACACCCACACTTTATTTAGATGCTAACTTTATTTTTGATTACAAATATATATGCTATAAAAAACAAAAGAAATAGTATTTTTCAATTCACCTCATACAAGTACTGTAATACAATTTATATGTTGAACTGAAAGTTGAACTTACAGGTGTAGAATTATGTACCAAAAAACCCCCTGAATTCAAAAATAAAACAATGTAAAACTTTAAGGCCGACAAGTCCACTCGGTCCTATTTCTTGTTCAGTCAGTCACTCAGACAAACAAGTTTGTTTATGTTTGCAGGAGATAATGCTACCTGCTTCTTGTTTACAGTGTCACCTGAAAGTGAGAACAGGTGTTCACATGGCACTGTTGTAGCTGGCGTTACCAGATATTTATGTGCCAGACGCGTTAAAGATTCATGTGTTCCTTCATGCTTCAGTCACCATTCTAGAGGACGTGCATCCTTGCTGATGATGGGTTCTGCTCGATAACGATCCGAAGCAGTGCAAACCGATGCATGTTCACTTTCAAAATCTGAGTCAGATGCCACCAGCAGAAGGTTGATTTTCTTTTTTGGCGCTTCGGATTCTACAGTTGCGTCGGAATGTTGCTCTTTTAAGACTTCTGAAAGCATGTTCCACACCTCATTCCTCTCAGATTTTGCAAGGCACTTCAGATTCTTAAACTTTGGGTTGAGTGCTGCAGCTATCTTTAGAAATCTCACATGGTACCTTCTTTGAGTTTTTTTAAATCGGCCGTGAAAGTGTTCTTAAAACGAAGCCAGCAGCATTATCTCCCGTAAATGTAAACAAACTTGTTTGTCTTAGTGATTGGCTGAACAAGAAGGACTGAGCAGACTTGTAGGCTCTAAAGTTTTACATTGCGTTATTTTTGAGTGCAGTTACATAACAAAAAAAATCTACATTTATAAATTGGACTTTCATGATAAGGAGATTGCCTTATGGTATTGTAAGAGGTGAATTGAAAAATACTATTTCTTCTGTTTATCCTTTTTGTAATGAAAATAATAATATAAAGTGAGCATTGTACACTTTGTATTTTGTGTTGTAATTGAAATCAATATATTTTGAAAATGTAGAAAAACATCCAAAAATATTTAATAAATTTCAATTGGTATTCTGTTGTTTAACAGTGCGATTAAAACTGTGATTAATCACGATTAATTTTTTGAGTTAATCATGTGAGTTAACTGCAATTAATTGGCAGCTCTACTATGTATATATGACATAGAATATATTTATCCCCATCTCCCACCATTTAATTGACTCTTGCCATCACAAATTACATAGCTCACTCTACTGCACGTGACAATTTCATAGAGCAAAATATTGGAGTCAGAGCTGCAACATTTTGTGCGACAGCATACCTCTGAAATTAAAGACATATGATAGGTTGGCTTTTCAGCTGCGGTATGTTACCTAGATTGTGGTATTCTTCGTGGGAGGCTGGACTGGTTGGGCAAGAAGACTAGGAACTGGGGGATCATAGGCCTGAACTGGAGGGATGGAGATGAAAATGGGCTTTGTTGGGCAAGGAGATTGGGACTGAGAGATGGAAGGCATAGGGGAGGCAGTAACTGATTGGGCATGGAGACCAGGACTAGGAGCCAGAGAGACAAGATTAGGAGATGGTGTGGAAAATGATGATGGGGACTGGGAGCCAGTTAACAAGGGAAGGACGTATGATGATGATATATGAGGAGAGGGTAGGAGACTGGGACTGGATGGTCAAGGAGCCTGAAGATAGGAACCAGTGTAGAGGGGAATGAGCTTTGGAAAGGAAAAATAGATCTGACAAGAGGCTGAGGGGCAGAAATGTGACTGTCTGGATAAAGAGACTGGGCAAAAGGCTGAGAGAGGAGGTTGGTGTGGGAGGCTGAGTTGCCTGGGTAAGAAAACTAGAACCTGGAGCCAGTGATGTGTGTTAGGGGGAAAGAGATCAGACGAGCCGGGAGGAGAAAACTGTTTCAAACAGCCGTAAGTCAAAGGGTACTGTGTAACTTTTACTGTGCAGCAGCAGTGTCCATATGGCCACTTTGTGTGTGGCAGGCTGGTGCATTGTAGATTCACACACACACACACACACCCTTGCTGCTCTCTATGTCCTGTATAGACAACCACTTAGACCAGGTGTGATGAATACTTTGGGACTTGGCCAGCAAACCCAGAGGGGAATCTAGGACTGACTGGGCAAGGAGACTGGGCCTGGGATAAGAAATCTGAGAAGTGCAAACTAGGACAGTAGAGGCAGGGAGAATGCAACTGGGACAAGGAGCCAGGGGTGGAGAAGAGAGAGGACTCGGACGGGGAGAGGTTGGACGGGTCATGGCAGAATGAATCAGGCTTGGGAGGGAATGGGCAGAAGAGTCTATGGCTACTAAAGTACTGGAGTGGAACCCAAGGTTCCCGAGTCTCACCTGCTGTCAGCAAACATCTGTGACACCCACTAGCAAAGTGTGTGTCTTGTCTCCTTTAATCCACTTAGAGGACAGCAACCTGCTATTGCTATAAGATACCCCCTTATCTCAAGTGGTCTGTGCAATGGATCTACAGGTTCAAATCCTGCATCTGGGTGTCAGTATGATGCCACATGCTAGAATTTCTGTTTTTCAATTTGCTTTTTTTAGAATTTAGGAAATTATATACTATAAAACTGGTAAAGAACGCTATTAAGGTTGCAGAGTGAAGCACTCAAAAGTTATGTAATGCCAGAGTTATGCATTTGCTTAGTTCCCATAATTGCACTTATTGCAAAATGTTGTTTTTCATAATTGAATAGATGGGTGAGTTTCACCCACATTGTTGTAGGGTTATAAGAATGATTCATTCCTGAACTATAAATACCTCTGTGCCTAAGGAAAGGCATGGATTCAAACAAATATACCAGTACTGTACTGTTAGAATGCTTGTCTTCTGCATTTAACAAATGTCATAGTTTTGACTTCCAGAGTGGTATTCTGTGTACATACTGAGTTGCATAGATTTCCTGCTTCATGGTAACTTAAAAACTGTAAATTTGACGACATTCAGTCAGTAAATGTCCTTGAATTGCAGGATATGAGAACTCTGTAGTGTCTCTGTGTATTTATTATAGGTGCTTTTAAACATAATCAGAGAAAGCACAAGAGGAATAAAAATATTGTGTCCATATATGTTTTGTTGGGGAGTAAAAAACTTATTTTATGAAGAATTTAAAATCTTTTAATGACTTTTTTAGGGGTTTCAACTGCAATTTTTAAAAATAGTTTGAAAATACTTTTGTTGGAATCTTTATTGCTTAATTTTGCCCTTTTCAAATTTGTTACTTTGGAAAGCTATCACACCTATTGTAAGGCATTCTTTCTACTTTCTGACTGAACTAAACACACCTGGAGATTTTTAAGAGCAGATTAGACAAACCC